ACCTGCTATGGTTAATATTGTTTGCTTCTAATAAGTGAGTGCTCTAGTATAGGTGCTAATCTAGTGGACAGGTAAGTAATGATAAGCTTGATAATAAGTTTAAATTGGTTACTATACTCATAAGCTCTTTTATGCAACTGTGTCAAGCTAGCCCACCTGAAAAGCCTTGCATGATCCTTGGTGTCTTTTATTTCTGATTTTTGTCGGGTAAGTCTAGCTAAGTACCTTCTCGTACTCAGGGTTTATTTCCCACCTGTTGCAGATGACCAGTTCTTCTTTGGTTGCTGCAAGTACTGCCTTCTCCCTGCTGGGGATGAAGACTAGACCGTTGGGCACGGTCTCTACTAGTTCTCGTACCTGATAATGCTTTTGTGGGACATGACTCTGATCCTGGCAATGTATTTGAAACTATGAAGTTATGTACTAAACTATGTTGCTTCCGCACACTCAAACTTGCTTTGTAATATTTTATTTGAACTCTGATGGATGTAATCCGAATGCTACTTGTGAAATGTTGTAACGAATGATGTGTTGTGTTGAATCATTACGATCTTGGTTTGTATGTCGAGAGTTGGTTGAAATCCTTCGTGATTTCCGGACTACCGGGATTATGGGAGCTTAAGTACAGGAATTTGATCGCTTCGGTGATTGTTTTTGTACTTACGTTCTTATGATTTGGTCGGTTCTGTTACAATGTCATATGGCCTTGGTAGGAATTCATAATCATTGAGGAACTTTGGATTTTAGCATTTTTAAATGAAAACTCCAGATGTCATGTTTCTCTTAGAATAAAGTCATAGCATATTCTATTTACCATATCATAACTTGCAACAACTTAGAAAAGGATCATGATGTTGAGGGGCAGGTCGCAGATCCATTGTGATGTGAGAAGAAAGCGAGCTGGCAGTGAGGGTTCTGTTTCTTCTCGTCCCCTTTGCCTTGAACGCAACAGCGCTCAGTTACCCTTCGAACTCATGCACAGGTGCTTGACCTTGTCTTGGAGCTGGTCCACAAGGCTTTGTCTGGGCGACCTCTTGGTGTGAATGAGAAGTCAAGAAATGGGTTAGTGGTTCGTCACGGCACGGGGTGCAAACAAAAAAAGTTTGAAACGGTTCACTTCGACGATGACAAATAGTGATAGGCCTTAGAGCATATGTGTATGTGACTATATGTGTAGCCCCACGAGTGAGTCGTGTTTGGCTGCTGGTGCAAGTCAGGATGGGACACTCAGAAGGTAAATGACACTAAAATAGACTATGCGTGTCTCATGTTCTTGGGTTTACTCTACAAATTGACTCTCAGTTCTTGAAACTACTGGTGAGCCTACACGTGTATGTGAACGTGCTTAGGTAGAGGCTAGGGATAGGTTGACGTAACTGATCGGCATGCAGGGAGCCATCGTTGGTCCTGCTATCGTTGGTCAGGGCACAGCGAGCCCCTAAGCACATGTCCATGGCAGGGTTGTTGTTGTTCCTGAGCTGCAAGCTGGTGAGGGCACTTCTCTATTGCTCGGAGCGGTCGCAGCTGGCATGGGTCGTCCTTCTGGGTTCCTTCGGGTTGACCCTTGTAGCCTCGTTGTCCTCGGCAGGCTTGTGAGCCCTTAGGGATGGCTTCTTCATGTCTGGCCTAGGGATGTCCTTGGTCATGAGGGGTCGAGCGCCCTTTTGCCTAAGCTCTAGTGACACGATGACGTCGTGGTCGTTGCTTCTCTACTACTGGCTGTGCTTGCTGTCCGTGATGGAGAGTTGGTGGGACCTATCAAAGTGGGTGCAGACTCTGAACATGACATGGCATGCCCACTTGGTGCGGCATGGCGCGCGTTCAAGAGACCCGCGTCCTTGGATGCACATGCCTCCATGGGAGAGTTGATAGTTCATATTGATGTGGCGGGTGGCTAGTTCAGCATGGGAGGTTTGGCCCTGGCTCTGGGCTTGACCTCATGAGGTGGGGTGTCGGACGGTCGTTTGTTTATTTGCGATGACACCGCATGGCGGTGGATGGTTTTGTCACTCGCATGCGCCCTGATCTGTCGTGTCCTGCTGATGGCGAAGATGCCACTTAGGGCATGATTATACTGTGGGATCCAAGTCCTAGCGTGGAGGCCCTATCCAAGGTAGAAGCTAGCAACGGGCATTAACCCGTCGGCATGGGTGAACTCATGGTTTCCTAAGAGGATGTGACCACCGAGGGCCATTCCGTGGGTAGGTTCGCCATGAGCCATGGGCCTCAGGTTTCCTAGGCGGTAGACCTGGCCATGGCCAGAGATGAAAGGGGGTACTAGCCCCCTATGTAGGTGAACTCTAGGATGCGTCCTCTGGGGGCCTTTTTCGAGAGCGTGTTTGCCATAGGCCATGGAGTCTAGGACTCTAGGGTGGAAGACCTGGCTGGTGTCGAAGGCAAACGTGGGTACTGGCCCATCGATGTTGGCGAACTCGGGGTTCCCATGGCGGATACGGTCACTAGGGGCCATTCCGTGGGTGAGTCCGTCAATGGTGCGAGGAGCCATCGCTTCCCTCTCAACAAAGAGAGTGCGTGATTGTCCCCTACCAGGCACGCCAACTGTTGGTGTTTTGTCACCCGACAAGTGAATTTATATGTATGTTGCGTTGCTCTAGGAAGACGATGGTAGCATCGAAAGACACAAGGAATTATATCGGTTCAGGCCAGAGCCCTACATCCAGTCTCAGAGTTAGTTCGAGTGCATGTTCCTTGGTTGAATGCTCTGAAGTTCTTACAATGGGGTATGCAAGAAGAGTGAAAGAGGTAGGAGAGTGGAGAGGGGCTGCCCGAATGAAGTCTCGACAGTTCGTCCCCTTGGAAAGGTGCCCTAGCTGCCCTTATATAGATTCTGGGGCCAAGCCACGTACAAAAGAGATAGGTTCTCCCGACCGAGCGGTCGTGAGCCTAAGGGGGGGAACTAGATATCTTGGCTTGCAAGGAAGGCCATCATGTCTTGGTGTCAATGTACATCCAAGCGTGGTTGTCGTCACGGTATTCTGCCCACATCGCGGCATGGGGTGGCGTGATGATACAGTGTTGGTTGTGATGGCACTATTAGCACAGTGGTGATTCGCCAGCCATCCTATGCGACGTGGTCTCACCGTAGCCTTCGTCATCATCTCTTGATCTCTCGAGGGAGTAGGCAACTGCTCTAGGGTCGTCGGTTCTCTTGTTGGTCATGGCACCGATGATCACAATCCCGAGCTCTGGGGTCATGGCCTTCATTGGCTTGGCTGGCCTTGAAAGTCAAAGCCGTCGTCGTGAGCCCCATCCTGTGGTGGGTGGGGCCATATGCCCGTCCCGTCGGGCCTTTTTCTGGATGGTGGTTCACCGTACTTGTCATCATCGCTTGGTGGTCCTGTCTCGTTTGTGGCGTGGCGCAGGGATGGCGCCTGCTTCGAGACTGTTGTCGCCTAGGTCCTGGCGGACTGGGCAAGCGTGCCTGTATTTGTTAGAGCAGGTGTACTCAGGTGGAGCCTGACCCCACCTTGTTCCTCCTAGGGGTCGGGACGGAGGAGAGGTCGTGCCACGCTGCGCGACGTGTGGTGAAAGGGAGACGTCGTGGCCGACCACCTGCCTTAGTGTTTGGCCTAGATCTGCGCAACTTGCATGGGCCACGGTTGCTGGGCTTGTGCTAGTTTGGTTGTCGCGGGCCGCCCGAACGGCTAACTAATCGGTGTCCTGACATACCAGGGGTATCATAACCCGGACAAGCACCAACTGATTAACCAAGATAAAACATAGTATCATCGGCTGATTAACCAAGACAAACAAGACAATTAACAAAGAGCCGATGTACATGTAAAAGGATAGATCATGAAAGCACATATTATTGGCTATACAGCCGATTTAGCGAAATTTAAGTTATAGCATGCAGACAATCATTTATTTAATATAAATAAATCTACAAACAAACCAGATCAAATCTATTACCACTACCAAATAGTTCAATCCGGTGCAGCGTTGGCAAAGATAACAAATTAAAGCTAACAAGTCGATAGATCTATTTATACTTCAACAAGATCATGAAAACATGCTATAAGTGAAGGCACAAGCCATCGGCTATAACTATATAGCCGACGGAAAGCATAGCAAACGAACAAGATCATATTTTAACGATAAACAAATCCATTAACTGGTAGAAGTCTAATCTAAAGTGGTCTGTCATACAGTTCGATACGATGCAACGATGATAGCAAACGATAGATTAGAGTTTACCGGTCGATGAATCTATTTAAAGCAAAATAAGACCTTGAACCTGTACTATGTTTGATCAAGATTAAGATAAAACGCTAGTCGTGGCGGTACTTACAAGCAAACCGGAGATCGAAACGATACAGTCCTATCTACGGAAGAACTTGTTAGGATTCTAGAGTACTCCTGCTTCTAAGGTTTTGACGTGAAGCTGAGTTGTATTGATTGTGATTAATGTCCGTTACAACAGCCAGGGTTTTATACCCTGGGCCTAGATATATGTCCTAGTTGAATTAGACTTATTAAAAAACTTGGAATAAAAAAATATTCTAATTTAGGTAAATTGGATTCTACAGTTCCCTTATAGAATCCGATTCATCCATGCTTTAGCCGATGCCGACCGTGTCCAATCTTCTAAAATCAATTCGCTCTGACATCATGGGCTGTCCTGCTGATTCCGGCTTTACGGGCCTAATCATTCATGGGCCGACTCCGACGCGGTTCTCAGACGCCTCCCCGAATCTCGTATTACCCGCGTACCATTCCAAATTCGGGTATAAACAGATTCAATGTTAATTTAGCTTTACAGTGTTTCCTGTACTACTTTGACTTCTGTAACCAAGGGCACATAATTAAAACATTTCTTTCTATTGCAGAATGTTGCTAGACCTGCAGAAATACTGATCCTATAGGGATGCAAAACTACAGCTGCAGGCTGCATGGCCGTAGAAGTGTAGAACACATATTAACACCCTGCATATCCATGGCATGCGGATGCAATTTTGGTCTTGTTTCTGCACTAATCACTACATATTTGCTTCTCCATGCAATCTAGATTTGTTAACGCCTTTGAGTATGTGGTAGCCCCAACCAGGCACAGAACCAATAGCAGTACAAGAGCAAATTACATAACATTTTTGCCCTGGCCTCGACACTACGTGCATGTTTGGTTGGTGCTCTGTCAGGCAGATGCGCATCCAATCGTAAACCCAGGCATCCAAAATCGAACGCCTAGAGCCTTGCCTGGTCCAGGCAGCTCCATCCAGAGCAATCCAAACAGGCCCCACAAGTCTCAACGTCGAAGTGGGCGCCATGGGCCACGGCGCCCACCCTTGCCTCAGTGCCAAGTAGCGCAGTGCCGAGAACTTTGGTGCATAGGTAAGAGTCCATTTCTGCAAATATTTTCTTACGGGGTCCAAATGTAGAACTCTTTCAAAAATAGACTAAACTGAAATAGTAAGAATAAAACAAAGCATTATCGAGTCCTCCATACAATCTTTTGCAAGCCTGCATGATCGCAGGATGGGTAACATACGCTGAGACATGTAGACCATAACGGTCAATCGGTTAGCATGTCTCAAAACCTGGACATGACACGCTATCGCACCCCAAACAAATCAACCCGAATACGACACCTTAACATGTCCGGCATAGATGACCTTGCCAAATGCCCAAAGAAAGCACACGGTGGAATTGGTTCAAACTTGCTGGAAATGAAATGCTATCAAATTTGCTGATCAAAAAACTCCAATCACCAGCACAGCGGGTACAATAAAGCAACTAATTTCTTAGCATATAATACACACAATAGCGAGCAGTTCGTTTGGCAAACCATGCTGTCAATATTTTACTTGCACTCAGAAAGTCAGAATGACCACTAAATGAGAAGAGTGCAGACTAATCATCTACTTACTCAAATAGAGCAACAGATATATCTAGCACAAAAAAAATACTACATTTAAATACATCTCCATCGGTTCCAAACATAGGTGCAGCACAAGCAACTGAAACACAGTGGCGTCAATGCATCCTTCTCACGAGGTGGGGTTATAGCGAAGGTGTTGCTCATAGTAATTAATAAGCTGCAAACCAGAATAATAATTGTTGTGGTGTCATTACATTTTCCTTCATCAAGTGAAATGAGAAGACAATGAGGTCATACCACCAGGGGCTCCTTAGCTTTCAACTGGTTGTCATCCACGAATACCTCCTCTCCGTCAGACCTGTTGATCATGTTGGTCAGGAGAAATGTTCAGCAAACCTTATACCAAAGACACGTGCAAGGGTGTTATGTTGGCAAGACATGTAAACCACTTCACGATAGTCAGAATTTAGAGATAGAAACCACACACACACACACTCAACAGCAATAACAATGCAGGATAAAAACTTAAACATAGGATGACTGCTCCTCCATGATGAGTTATCAGAACATCAGTTAGTCCAATTCAACATAATGCCTTCAAAGGGCGTACCCAGTGCAGAGAGCTCCCGCTCTGTGCGGGGTCTAGGGAAGGGTGTTAGTGGCAAGCCTTACCCTCGCCTGTGCAATGCGAGGAGACCGCGACTCGAACCCGAGACCTTCTGATCACAGGCGGTAAGACTCTACCGCTTGCACCAGGCTCGCCCTTCAAAGGTTCTGCATTTTAATGCCGGATTGATATGCTACCTCCAAAGCTATGTAATCTCCCTTTTGACTAAAAGGCCATAGACCGCTTTTCTTTATTTGAATACATAGAATACCACCATCGAGGTTTCAAAATGGAAGAGCTTGAGTGTTCTTTTCTTGTAGAACAGAGTGCTCATTGTTTAGTGCAAAACCATTTTGAAAGGGCATTTGACCTGACTACAATAATTCACAATACAGTTAGTGACTTTAATAATACAGCAATCTATGAGACAAGAATATTTTATTGATACTATAAGAACCCACAAAATACTGTGTTGCATGCTTTGGAACACACGATTTCTCAAATTTGATGCACACCAACTGCTTCTATACTGGATATATAGTAGGGTTTCATACCAATATGTATTAAACAACAAAGCAGCTATTGACGTGCCTAAACCGAGTTTACGAGCACTTGTTGGGTTTCAACTATAGCCTACAACAACTTGCTTGGGACTGAATGGCTGAGAATGTGGTTCCCTAAGTTGAGGAACACTGGAATCTTCAAATGCACATTTTAAGCTCCCAAATTGCCTAAACCAATATTGTAGTATTAACTAGACAAAGCTCTAGTATCAAGTATAGCACCGGCGACTCATACCAATAACCAAGTCAAGCCAGTACCTTCGAGGCCAGCTCCAAAACACAGGACAACAAACAATTCATTATGACTGTATGATGCAATAGTATAACCATTTGTTATACCTAGAGCTGCTACAGACATGACTCCAATGCCCAATTATAATCTTTGCTGTTGGACACTAATGTCTTTAGACAGTGAATCATGTATAAAAGTATGCAATCCCCTAAATTCAGATATAACAGAATCAACAAATGCACATTTCAAGTTTTTAAATGAAGGCCTCCCAGATTATCTTTGTAAAGTTAGCATACTTATATTATCCAATCAATTCCATTCAAAACTCAATCAAACAAATTAACTTGAAGACAATTCTACCATAACCCAAGATTATAAGTAAAAGTAATTGATTTGAAAATCCAGTGCACAAGAAGTAAAATGAAAAAAAAATAAAGACATGAAAACAGATCTTTAAATGTACACTACAGCAGAGATAAACCATTCTATGATTTAAATTAAACAACTTATTGCACCATCACCTTAGTGCCTTCAGATAAGACAATAAGCAGGCGATAATATCAAAACCCAGATTGGATGCAAATTTCTCTTTACAGTTACTCCTCAATCCTGAATTGGTTCAAAGTATACAAAAAAACATTTAGGTGACTCCAGCGAAGAATAGCAAACCAAGCACTACTGTGTGAACATGTGGTTTTATCACTATATGTTGCATAAAGTATCATTCCTTGTGATGATAGCGCTCTAATTTGAAAGGGAGCAATGCCAAAATACCAAGCACCGTCAGCATGTGAACACGAAACTTTTCTAGAGATTCAGAAAATAAGATTCGCGAACTAAGAAAGAAGCTATGACCTGAGTGCCTTGAATGTTATTGCAACTTGCTGCACACCATCCATAACAGTGGCAAAATAGCGAACTGGCTTGATGATCTTAATGATCTTAGGCATATGAATTTGGTTACCAGAGTCCTCCCCCTTGTTCTTATCACCAGTTTCTCCTTCTGTGGAATCAACAGTCTCATTGCCTGGCTTGTCACTCGTGCGATCACGGATATCTCCTTGCTCCTGTGTTACTTCATCCTGCTTGAACCTTCTGACACATCCAGACTTGCGCTTCTTGGCACCTGTCACCTGTCCACCCTGAGGTGGGGTTGCTCGTATTGAATTGTCCACCTTCAATGAACCATTAGCAGGGTGCTGCACATCTTGTTGGTCAGTCAAGCTAACAGATAAGGGAGCCCCTTGAGACAGAAACCCAACTGAGACCACACCAGAACTACCCTCCTGTACTACTCTTTGCCCAAGCAAGTTCACTGATGCATCAAGGCCCCCAGGTGAGGTCTTGTTACTATTATTATTTGCTCTCCTACTACTTGTCCTGCAGGGCAGTTTCTTCACTTCTGAGGCATGTATGCCTTGCATGCTCCGGGCCTCCGACCGAGGTGGTCGGCCACGTTTGCCACGAGAAGGGTTAGGATCGGATGTTGGAGTTGTTGCAGTCTTACGCTTTCGCTTTCGAGAGGACCTGGGCGACCTTGACCTGTGTTTCATAAAACAACCAGCAAACAATGTTATTCAGCTGCGCATGTGAATCTAATGCTGAACAGAAGCAATACACATTCATACCGCTTATTGAAAGCATCAACAATGTCGGAACAGGCCTTCAGGTTTTCAAGGGGTTCCCATGTGTTCGCACTCTCCGGCCACCCACGCCTTTTAAATCACATCAAATTGGTAGGAATACAGTATCAGCAGTAATATATATGCAGTAAACATGCATATACACAACATTCAGCTTTCAAATCCGTAGTTCTCAATCAAGGAAAGAAAGAGCAACTATGCATTACACAATGAATCTATTTAATGAAGCAAACATGAAGTTAGAGGAAGACATGACTCAATGACTACCAAAGTTGGCCACCAAATTGCGAATGCTGCAACGCGCGCTCTATTTAAAAAGAGAATGGAATAGTTGTGTTCAAAATCACAGAAATTACTTCAGTAGAGCATTGCTCCAATGCCAAACATCCATTCTTGAATGTGGAGTTCATGACTTAGCATCTACATCGTACTAGATACGTCCACGAGCCATGATGATATTTGAATAAAAACAAATAGACAAGGAAAACGCATTGCACGAACCAATAAAAAAACGATAGTTTCCAGTGCCCTTGAACTCAACCTACTTCGAGAGTCACCATCCCATCAAACAACAAACAAATGTAGTGTATTAAACACTAAACCACGCCCAAACGGTACTAACTGCGCAAGAATCTGGACTACCGTCCAAGCAAGAATCAAGGAAGACGAAGCGCTACGCCTAGGGGAAAATTGCAAAAAGGGGAAAGATTGGGATTTGGGAGAGCTAGGGCCGCCACCGACCACTTGACGAGGTATTGAAGCTGGCCCTTGCGGAGGCGGCGGCGGCGGATGGCCTCAATCTCGTAGAAGCCCTCGGCCAGCTTCGGCGGCTCCACTGCTTCCTGTGCCGGCGTCTCCGCCTCAGCCTCGGCCTGATCCTCCCCACCAGACCCCTCCTCCGTCTGTTCCTCCCCCTCTTCCTCGTCGCCCTCCTCAGTATGTTCCTCCGCCTCTTCTTGCTCCTCCTCTAGAGCCGCCGTCAGATAGCCTGACTCCTTCCTGTTCCGCCCCATGGCGAATCTTGTTTCACTCGACGGCCCGGCCTCACGTTCACTCGTGCTACCCAAATCGAGGGCGGATCTTGTACAGATTTTGCTGATGAGCGCTCTGGTTGTTGGAGCCGCCTTTTCTTGGAGGGGTTCGTGAGGAACAAGGCTCGTTCAGGAGCGCAGGGCAAGGCTCCGAACAGCGTGACGCTTCTGTAGCACAGGCAGCAGCCGCCCTTGTGGCAAAGTATTTAATCGTTTCCGTTTTTACCCCTGAGGGTGCATGTGTCCGGCGTGGCATTAGCCTATATCTATGTATACCTATTATTAAAGAGTATTTTTTTTTTGTCACATCCTTTCATCTCGCCCATTTTACGCCGTGTTTAGTTGGACCCCAAAGTCCAAAAAGTTGCTACAGTATCCGTCACATCGAATGTTTGCGGCCCGTGCATGGAGTATTAAATGTAGACGAAAATAAAAACTAATTGCACAGTTTGGTGGGAAATTGCGAGACGAACGTTTTGAGCCTAATTAGTCCATGTTTGAATACTATTTGTCAAATAAAAACGAACGTGCTACAGTAGCCCCAAAATCCAAATTCATCCAACTAAACAAGGGCTTATTCAGGCCCAACCATTCAGATCACGTTCCGTCTTTTCGGCCCACTCTTCACGTACGCTCTTGTTTCGTCGATCCTTCAAGAGAAAAAAACACATGTCGCCCGCCGCCACCACCGTATGAGTCACGCGTCATCATCCCACATGCAGCGTCGCCTCCGCTGCTCCTATTTCAGTGCTGCCATCCAACGCGCTTGTTGATGCCAGATGGTGCTCCGGATCACACGTCAGCATGGGCTAGCACGTCCGCGGTCGACACACGACCTTATCGTAGCAAGAACGCAGTGAACCGATGAAAACCGATCTACAGACCAGTTAGGCCGATATTGAGCCCGTTCTTCACCTGGTAGACTCCTTAACACCTCCCGGGAAGACCCGTCAGGGAGGAGCACATGAATGTTATCCTAGGGTCAGCAAGGCCACATAGGACACCAACAAATCTCGCTGGGAGACGTGACGAACACTAAGGTAGGGAGAGGAAGGCGTAAAAATGGTGTAGTAGATGTATTGTTTACAATTGGAAGTTGGGATCCTCAATCGGCCATGATCCTTTCATGTATATATAGACGGGTTCTGTTATCTCAGTAGGAAATAGAACCGCCACTACAAACAGGTATTTATAGGGGCGGTATGATGAGTAACACCGGTGCCTACAGGAGACACCCCTTAAGGGTAAGTTTGAACCTCTTCATCCGTAGTATAAAAACTTCGTACATGGTATGAAATACTAAACCAAAACTTGTTCTCTTGTAGTGGAGAAAAGAGAAAGGAATGAAAAGAGACCCATATAAGGATGACCAACTCTTAGAGTTCGTCGGAGACCTTTGCAACTTCATATTGGACCAGATTGTATACGTCAAAGGCGCCTACCATGACCGAGAGTCTGACTTAGGTACAAATCCTCAGTACCAACACCTTCGTGAGACTGAAAGGCTAGCTCTAGGACGTTGATAACAATGTGTATGTAATTTGTATATTTAATGATGGATTGTATATATTCTTGTAAATTGGACTTGTAATTGTAGTTTATATAATACTCTTGTGCTTGTAGTTGCGGTCGGAATGCTGGTCACGGGGCGTTCGGCAACGCGAATGCGGTTCGGAAAGTTGGTCGCGGGTACCAGCCGCCCCTACAAATCGATTTGTAGGGGCGACTGGTAACACCAGCCGTCCCTACAAATTGATTTATAGGGGCAGCCTGGGAACCGCCCCTACAAATGCATGATTTGTAGAGATGGTTCGGTAGGGGCAGCTGGCCGAACCGCCCCTACAAAGGGTTATGAGCCGCCCCTAAAAATCGATTTTGTAGTAGTGGCTGTTGCCGGTGCTCTGCTCTGGAGGAGCATTCTTCTCATGACTGATTGGCCACAACCAAGCCTAGCCGACCCCTCCCCGCCGCTGCTAGCTCTCGCTGGCTGAGCCCAGCCGGCCCAAGCCGTGCTTTGCTCCATTCCCGTGATGAAGAGAAGGCGAAGGACCACGAGCATGAATGAGAAGAAGTGGGAGGGTCTAAGTGCGAAGCCATGACTCAGGTGAATAGTGCCAGAAAGGATCTGTTTGTTTGAGCTTAATTTGTGTAAACTGCAGGGTCCCCGATGTAAGATATACATTCCTTTTCTTTGGTTTATGCAGATTTTGATGATCATCTTTGTAAATTCGTAGTAATTAGTAGATAAATCGTAAAATAATAAATGAAGACTTTTTGGAATACTTATGAAATTATATATGTAGTAGATCTATAATATAGCATGCTTTAGTTTAAAGTTTTTGCTGTAAAAATCAATTTATGCAGTTAGGTTTTTAATACTAGTTGTGTCTTGTTGTTTTCATAACTGCAGTTTTTTTGCTCAAATAAATGTGAAATTTTTATGGAGTGATACTAAGGTGATGGCTAATTTCTGGTAAAAATTTCAGGATTTTAGACTTGATAGTTTAAGAGTATAAAAATAACAAATGCATTGTGTTGTTTTGCTCCTATTCTGAATAGGCTTGCATGTTTGTATTAATTGGCTTAGCTAAGTTATGAATCATGCCTTGATGACAATAAATGAGTTGTAGTACTTTTATTAAGCTTTTCATAAAGCTAAAAAAGCATAATTTTTTATTAAGTAGATTTTTATTTATAGTTGCTTAAATTTCTATGGCTGTTTCTGCTCAAACCCAGACAGGGTTGCCTTGTTGGTACTGTGGGGCCTTTTTCATAGTAGAATTAGCTCTAGATGTTTATAACAAAGTTGTTTAAAATTTGCTAAGATTTCTAAAAAGTCTAGAACCACATTTATTGTACATATAAAACTCTAGTTATAGCTGTTTAAAGTGGCATATCAGATTTTATCCATGTTTTGGACAGAGATGCATTCATTGGATTAATTGACCTTATTAACTATAGAATCATCTTAAGATGAGAATAAGAAAGTTGTTAGTAACTTCATATTCTTTTTAAAAAGTTATGAGTCATGTTTGTTGGAGGTCTAGAACTCTAGTTATGCTTCTCTGAAGTTCCTTTCAGTTTGTTGTCTATAACTGTACCACTGCTATTTGGGCTGCATGTGCAGTTTTGCTTGTGTAATTATTTTCCTAGTGTAAATGATGTTTGCTGTGCTTATAGTGAATACTAAAGTTTTAGATAATTTCATAATCTTGCTTGTGTTCAAATTGCATGACCATAGGCCTGATAGTTTAGGAGGTATGAATTTGACAACTGATTTGTCATGTTTGGTCTATGCTCTGTGCAGATTTGAAGAATTGCATTGTTTGACCTAATTAAGTAACAAACCAAGTCTTAGTGATAATATAAGAGTTATAGTGCTTTCCGTAATCTTTCCAAATTATCCTAGATAACCCCTTTTGGTGTTGTAGATCTCTAGTTATAAGCTTGTGAATTTGCATGGCAGAATCTGTCCAAGTCTGGATAGAGGTGCTCAGTTGTGCTTGATTGACCTAGTTAATTATGGAATCACCTTGTGATGATAATAAACATGTTTTAGATAATTTAATAATATTTCTATAAAGTTAAGGTTCATGCTTGTTTGATGTCTGTAACTCCAGTTATGCATTTTTGAAATTATTACTACTTTTGTGTCCTAGTTCTGTGCAGATCTAAAACATTAGCATGTTTGACCTGTTTAGCTTTAGAATAAGCTTTTGGTGATAATAACAATGTTTTAGGAAATTTCATTAGCTTTCTAGAAAGTTTTGAATCACCTTCTTTGGATGTCTGGATCTCCAGTTATGGATAAAACAAGAGACTATTGTGCGGCTGTCCAGATTTCTATACATGTGCTAGCCGATTACTTTAGCTTGCTCTTGCTTTGGCTAAACATGTTGGTTAGTTCTTGATCAATGCATGTGTGCAATATCTGAACTTATATTCACTTGTGTTCCATTCCTAATATGCTTGCTATCCCTCTATAATAGGTTGTGTGATGTTTAGTTAAATAACTCTAGGTGTCTATATCTTGCATGATCTTATGTTTGCCTTGAATGCTATTATGTGATGCATCTCATATTACCATTCTTCATATTCATGCACTTGCTTCTTGCATCTCATCTAGGTACGCTAGATGAACCACGTAAAGGACATGATGTTGGAGCCGAACCTGAAGATGGTGTATGGTGGACCTATCCCGAAGATGGAAGGACTAGACAACTTGTAGGATGGGAGATACTCGCCTAGCAAGTGTCATCTAACAAACACTGACCTAGTGTTGGATCATAGGCAAGCCCTGGAGCATTCTAAGCCTCCTACTTTTTTATAAATATCACTTGAGTTCTTTATGTTTGATGCATTAGGGTATAAGAGTTGATTAGAACCACTTGATGCATAGAACTATCTTGTCCAGAAATATAACTTGAACCCTATGTAGGTCTAGGATCGAATGTATGCTTAGCAATGCTTAGACCGGTAGAAGTTGGGTGATTTCCTATCACCTGTGAGATATAGGTGGATACCAAAGCACGGTTGGCTATATTTGCTATCATGGAAATAACCATGTGTTAATAATGAATGGAGACCGGACAGGATGTCAATAGAGAAACAACAAGACATGGAGGTCTTGGGTGTGGATCTATCCCCGTTTGTGTCGGTTAAGGAGCGATTCGCTGTATGTTCTCACGTCATGTTGAACACATGCCTATCACTTAGTTGGCCGGATAACTCATTCCGACCGTGAAGCCGAGTAGGTCAACTCAAGCTGGAAGCCAGGAAGTGAAAGTGCACACTCTGCAAGTAGTTAGGATGTGCGGGGAGCCATTGGCATAAGTCCAAAGGGCAGATTGATGTCCTGGCAGAGTGGATTCCCTAAGAGTGCGGTGCTGCTCGGACCCACGAATTTGTTCCTGAGCTATACCAAAGGTGACCCGAGGCGACCACTGATCAGGTTGCTTGGGTGTGTGTTAGGAATAATTCTC